GTTGGGCGGCAGCACGAGGCCCTTGTCGTCTGAATGCACCATCACCATCACGCCGATCTGCGGTGGGTGTAGCAGCGTGGAGTAGGGTGTTGGAAGGTTGATGGAGGACATTTGAGCCACCAAAAAGGCTCCACATTACGGGGGCAGCACGAGTCCCTTGTCGTCCCTATGCACCATCACCATCACCATCACCATCACCATCACCATCACCATCACCATCACCATCACCATCACCATCACCATCACGCCGATCTGTATGGCAGGTTTAAAAGGAAGGGGAGGGAGCGAGGATGGGGAGAAGACGTCAAGTTGGGGAAGCGGAAGGGTGGGAAGGTAGGGGGAGCAGAGGTGAGACAGCAGAATGGGCGCCCCATTGGCGGGAAGAATGAGGCCCTTGTAATCTGGTCACACTTGGTCACACTTGGTCTCACTGGAAGCACCATGCACTCCTCTCCCATCTGAGCGGGAGTAAACCTAGTAGCTTGGCTCTGGTACCCATCATGTGGGCCCTAGTGACTGACCGAGCGCGTGGAGAGCCCCCAGCTGTTCTGCCAGACCATCTGCTTGGCTGGACACAAGAATACCCCCATAGCTAAACACGATCAACACAATCAGGCAGGCCGGCACTGGTGACTCCACTGACCGAGCGGGTGGAGAGCCCCCAGCTGTTCTGCCAGACCATCTGCTTGGCGCCCTTGTCGTCCTCAAACTCAATGTTGAACATCTTGGCAAAGTTCTGTCCCAGGCAGTGCGACGTGGCCGACTGGATGCCCCTGCCCGTCGCTGGGATGAATGCCTGCAGCAGGTGACGATGTCACAGAAGCACAGGGGGAGTGGCAGGCAAGGGAAGAGACAAGAACCATTCTTGCACAGGATCCCCAGGCAGTGCGAGGTGGCCGACTGGATGCCCCTGCCCGTCGCTGGGATGAACGCCTGCCACAGGGCCACCGGGGAGAGCAGCAACACAGAGGGAGCATGGCAAGTTGAAGATGAACATTTTCGATCCAGGTCTAATCAATGGAATGTGGTGTAAAGCACGGTGTGTATTGAGTTGAGTAAAAACACAGCCTCACCTAGCGCCACCACGCTACTCCCCACATACCTCGACAGTGGTGGTGTAGAGCCCCCCAGCAAACTTCTCCCGCTCGCTCTTCACGCCCTTCACCACCGGCACGGCCAGCAGCTCCTCATAGATGCGGCGGTACAGCTCCAGGATGGCCAACACTTCAACATCCGCCTCCTCCTTGCTGGCGAAGGCGGTATGGCCCTCCTGCCACAGGAACTCGCGACTCCTGATTCGGGGGGGATATTGGGGCGAGACGGGGTGAACGGAAGAGCGTGGGAAGCTTGACTTCCCAGAGAATGAAGGCTGCGGGGTGTGGAAACTGGAAACGCCTTTCTTCCTACTCCTTCCTACATGCCCACTCACTCACTCACTCCCACCCACCGGATGAAGGGCGTGGGGTGCTTCCTTTCTCTATCTCTACACACACGCACACACACACATCCAGTGCTGAGACGTCTCAGAGCCACAAACATCCCACCCACCCACCAGATGAAGGGCGTGGGGTGCTTGAGCTCCCAGCGCACGACGCTGGTCTTTAGTGCATCCCTCGGTACCCAGTCACTCCCCTACTCCTCCGCACCCACTCACTCCCACCCACACACCCACCCACCGGATGAAGGGCACGGGGACGCTGTTCCACTGGTTGAGCTTCAAGGGCAGGCCGCGGTGCGAGTGTATCTACTTGGCGTTTCGCTCCTGGAACCTGTTTAGCGTCCCTGCCCTGCCCTGCTGCCCTCCCCACACACACCTACTACCATTCCACCCACCCACACACACAACGAATGCTGAGACGCCTCAGAACCACACATCCCACCGCCCACCCACTCCCACGCACCGGATGAAGGGCGTGGGGTGCTTGAACTCCCAGCGCACGACGCTGTTCCACTGGTTGAGCTTCAGCGGCAGGTCGCGGTGCGAGTGAATCCACTTGGCGTAGATGGGGTACATCACCGTCTCACTCGTGGGGCGGATGGCGATGGGCACGTCTAACTCAGATTGACCTGACTTGGTCACCCATGCCACCTGGGGGTTGCAATGGAGAGGGGGGGAGGGGAGCCCAGGGAGGGAGAAGGGGTGAGAGGAAAGCAAGGAGCAAGGAGCTAGGGAGGGAGGAGGAACGAGGGAAGCTCTCAGCATGGTCCTTCACAGCGTTAAGGGCCCATTTTGGGATGACTATACGCATATTAATCAGAATAACGACCTAATGGCAACGTTTCCTCACCTCGGGAGCGAAGCCCTCGACGTGGTCCTTCTCAGCGTTGATCGCCCTTTCAGAGACGAACATGGGGAAGCAGGGACTTGTGCACTTTCACTTACACTCATAACAACAGCAACCTTGCCTCACCACGAGAGCAACCTTGCCTCACCTCGGGAGCAAAGCCCTCGACGTGGTCCTTCTCAGCGTTGAGCGCCCTCTCAGAGACGAACATGGGGAAGTAGGAGTTCTGCACGCCCAGCTGCTTGATCTCCGCATCAAAGAAGTCCTGAAAGGGACATGAAGGCAGGGAAGGCAAGGCATGGAAAGGCATGGATTGAGTCATGAGTCTATCGTTGAGCGCCCTCTCAGAGACGAACATGGGGAAGTAGGAGTTCTGCACGCCCAGCTGCTTGATCTCCGCGTCAAAAATAATCCTGCAGAGGAGGAAACGAGGAGGGGAGGGAGAAACCGGAGACGGTAGAAGGGCTGAGAGGCAAGGCAGAGAGAGAGAGGAGTTGGGAGAAGGGCTAGAGAATGGCTTTTTTACCGACGTAACAGAATTCGCATCACCTTGAATGTCAGTCACACACCGACATTGTGACAGCCATACCTTCATGGTTTCCCAGATGGAGTAGGACCAGGGTTGGAGGATGTAACAGCCGAACACGTCATAATACTCAATGAGCTCTGACTGTACCACCACCTCCGAGTACCACTTCCCATAGTCCTCTCCTCCCTCCCTCCACCATCCCCATATCGCTCTCACCTTCCTTGTCTCGCATACTAAAAGGACCGACCAGGCTCGGAGGGGGGTGACCCGGCCTTTGTGCTGAGCCGACATCAGAACAAAATTCTAATCACCATTGAACTTGCCAGCCATACTTGATGGTTTCCCAGATGGAGTAGGACCAGGGTCGGAGGATGTAACAGCCGGACACGTCATAGTACTTGATGAGCCCTCTGACTGCACCACCACCTCCGAGTACCACTTCCCCCCATAGTCATCCCTCCCTCACACATCCACATCTCCCTCTCGCCTTCATGTTCTCCCATATGGGTTAGGACCGACGCAAAAGAATTCGCATCACCTTGAGCGTCAGTCAGGCGTTGAGTCAGCCAGTCCTACCTTGATGGTTTCCCAGATGGAGTAGGACCAGGGTCGGAGGATGTAACAGCCGGACACGTCATAGTACTCAATCAGCTCTGACTGAACCACCACCTCCGAGTACCACTTCCCATAGTCCTCTGATTTCTTAACCGACAGACCCAGCAGCGTCTCCTTCTTCACCTCCTTCTTCCCCCCTCCGCCGCCTCCGCCTCCTCCGCCTTGTTGGTTGGGCTTTTTCTCCTTAGGGACCTTCTCCTTTTTGGGTTTTTCCTTCTTCTCCTTCTTCTCTTTCTGATCCTTCTGCTCCGTGGCCTCTGCTGCTGGCTTATCGGCGATTGACAGGTCAGCAGCAGCTGCAGCCGTCGCGTCGACGGTTTCTGCTGCAGGAGCGGCTTGATCCTGATTGGTTGAGAGCCAAGGGGTGTGACGAAAAGAACCGCGGAAGGAGCAGAACGGGATTTCACTTTATTTCATTATCCTTCGTAGCTTCGGGAAAAGGCAGAAAGACGAAATGGAACGACAGATTAACAAGAACGGGAGGATGCCTTAGAATGAGGAAGACAGTAAGCAGATGAAAACAACAGTCTGATGAAGAAGATAAGAAAAACGATTTCGGCATTGACATCGACATTGCAATGCTCGCTCGAG